TTTTATGGCTACATTTGATTTATTTACTAAAACAAACTCAAGCTCAAATCAACTATTAAGCTTACAAGAACTGTTTGTACTGAGATGACCTTTATGGGATGCAGCTTTGAACAATGATGTTAATATCAAAGATCTTTTGAAATTGGCAGAGCAAAAGCTTTTAGGTGGAGGTATAACAGTGGATAATTAGATTAAAAACCAACTTTATCTTCTGCTCTTGCTGTTTTATCTTTTCGTATCTCACTTGATATAACAGCTGAGTCACGTATTACTTCAGAACTAGTTGCTAGATTCATAGGGATACGTGTTCATGTTTCAGAGGATCAATGTCGACTATTGGTATTCTATCCATCTGAACTAATAGTTGCTGAGGCTGCTGCATCACTTATGCGACATGAAATTGTGTTCAGAAAATTACTCAACTTTTTACTGGATGCACTGCATACCGTGTATGTGGAACCTGGTTATCGTGGGGAATTGATTGCCCGTTTACTTTTGATGATTGCTTAGGACCAGGCTACTGGAAGTAAAGGATTATTATCATCATCAATGTCATCACACTTGGAAAACTTGGAATACATGAGGGAGTTTGTTTCACAACTGATTAGAGTGAAGATTTTTTGACATCTCTTTTTGGCCAGGATAATTATAACGATTATATTCAAGACCTCTCCCAAAAGTTCGCAGATGGTTTACTTGCATTTACGCATTTTATTCCACTTACTTACACCCCAACCCAAATAGAATTGAAGAGTTTATTCATTCATTACACAGCTGTAATATGTAAGCGTAATCAAGCAGGAGTTGACTTGATACTTCCAGTTCTGTTGGATTGGGATGGATCTAATACTATATCACTTGATTCAATGTCTTATGTTCTGATACAAATCAAGAATTGGAATTAGTTTTATGATGATCATTGGCCTGCTTTGGCCACAAGTAAACTCTCAAAAGAGTATGTCTTCAAAGGCAGGATCACAGAAGTTCGTTTCAAAGTTACAGACCCCACATTAGGAACAAGTTATCCTTTACGTGTCAACATTAATAATGTCTCCGGGCATGTTGTTAAAGTAGAAACTTATCAGGAGATACAGAAATTGAAAGCTGGATTTTTAAATCATTTGGTCGATAGGGTTCAATATACTTGCAACAAACTCACACACCTTAACCAACAAATGAATAGCTTCAACCAAGGCATTATAAGACTCGGTTAATAGTCACCACCTATGTTTACAAGTTTCTCAAATTATTTCGCCAAGCTATTAGAATACTATGGAATCGTGACATGTCATCATAGTTCAAACTTTAAATATCCTAGTGATGTTTTGAAAGCAAAGAACTTGTGCTTAACGAGAATAATAATTTACAAGAAGTGGAGAAAGCTTCGGAAATGAATTCATTTGGTATGGAGATCTTTACTCTTTTTACCCCCAAATATCTCATAGGTAAAAAGATTATCGTGTTTGCAAATGATATCAAATATCACATTGGTTCTTTTGATCTGTTAGAAGATCAATTTTTCTACAAAGAAACCGAATTGGCAAGATCATTAGAATACCTAGAGTATATTTTTCAGCAAATTCTGGTGCAATGATTGGATTGGCGGAAGAAGTTATGAATCATTTTAATGTTGCATTGATAAAGAAATCCAAGCAAATATATTAAATATCTTTATGCTGATTCGGAAACATATAAGCAATTACATCGAAATTCGTTATCGCAGAAAGAAAGGAGAAACACAACATAAAATCACTAATATTATTGGATCAAAAGATGAGCTTGGTGTTAAATGTTTAAATGGTTCAGGATTTATCGCTTAGATAGCATCACGAGTATATGAGGACATTTTCACAAAAACGTTAGTTACTTAATTGCAAGTCAATTTTTTTAAAAAAATAATTTACTTAACCTTCTTATTATTTTTATTAAGGTATTGGAGCTTACTAAGTAAGATCAACCTATAATATTAACCGAAGTACCAGTATTAAATAAAGTGTTGGAAAGAGAAGTTTATCTACAACTTGGAAGCACGCAAATTATGTTTAAGAATGGAGTTTAATATCTAAATCAAAGATCTAAATAGACAATTCAAATTTGAAAAATTATAATATAAATATATCCTCTCTAATCCTCATATCTACTAAAGTTCTTCTTAACAATAAAATAAAAATTTAAAACTTCTCTTCTTCTAATAAAATGTCTTGTCTTTGTGAAAAAAATTAAGCTTATGAAATGAGCTATTCATGTGCTTCACAATAACCTATTAATTATAATAATAACATTCTTTTTGAATTATAATCATAATTTATTTTTGTAAATATAAGTTTTTGTATCTACAAGTGGCAAAAATAAATCACAAGTACAAAAATTTAATGAAGCTTCTAAACATTTAAGTAAGTAATTATTTAACTATTTTATTATTAAATATATTTAATATACTTAAATTTTTATTTATTATAGAAAAGCAAAAAGGAAAAGAACCAGAAATAATTGATTATATAGCAATAGCAACATCTTCAAAATTACCTAAAAAACCAATAAATAAAAATAATTCTAATATTAAAAGCAAGACAACAATGGTTAGAGCAAAAGAAACAGGCAGTTGAATTATTAAGACAGAAGGTTACTTTGGAAAAAGAATTATTTGAGTTAGAAAAAATATATTATTCATCAATATTCTCTCTCTCTATTTCTCAATATTTGATTTTGGATTTTATAAATTTTAAATAAATAAATAAATATTTCTTGATAAAAATGAAATATTTTATAAAATAAAATTATCTTTTCATTTAAATATTACTTAAAGAAGTATTAAAAAAATCGTGTTCATGATTATTATATTACCTACTTAATGAAATATTTTGTTTTTAAAGAAAAAAAACAATCAGAATTTATTATCTTTTTGATAAATAATTTTATTATTATTAGTTTAAATACAAAGCAAATTGTTAAAAATATTTATAAATTTATGGTAACATCCTTACGAATGGCGTAGTAAAAATGGTTGTTATTTTTTTTTCCAAAAAAAATAATTAAACTTAGTTATAAACAAAATAGTAAAGTTTTAAAAAAAAATTTTTATAAAGCTTATAAAAAAAATAATTAGTATTATTTATTTTATGGGGAGTTAGGAATAATATGGTTTTTTCCTTCGGGAAAAAACCATGGTATTCCCTCCCCATAAAATAAATGTGTAATCCCCAGGAGCATGTCACTCATTAAACATAACACATGACTATACATGATTAGCGATTTAAACTTTTTTTTTTGCATTATTTTTTTCCCACGCTTCTTTTTTCTTCCTTAAACATTTTCTTTCTATTCCACATTATTCAAATCCTTCTTTCTAAATTAATAATGACAACGCGATTTGTTTCATCAACTAAAGAAACAATTTTAAATTTTCAGAAAGCATCAAGAAATGTAAATACAGACAAATCTAACAATGTGTTGATAAATATTTATTAAGTTTCGTGAAGCCCGTGGTTATTTAAATGAAATTGTTGAATTGGATAATAAAACATTATCCGATCAGTTAGAACAATTTTTAGTAGAAGTAAGAAAATCTAATGGTCAAGAATATAAAGTATCATCACTATATACTGGATTTTGTGCTTTGGAAAGAGAAATTACTGAAATATTTGAGAAAATTAGGGTTGTGAATTTATTTGATCTTTCTCAATTTAAATGTTTATATAGAACTTTGGATGGTCATATGAAATCAATTGCTAATCAAGGAAAATATAATCGAAAACAATCAAATCCACTATAAATTGATGAAATCAAATTTATACTTAACTCACCTGTCACCAATACAGATACTCCTAAAGGCCTTTTATGAAGGGTTTAGATCTGATTAACTTTATTAGTCTGTTTAAGAGGTGGTGATGCCAAACGATTGAAAGCTTCTTGGATTATTAAAATGGATGATGGTGGAATAAAGCTTGAATTACCTAAGAAAAAAAATCATGCAGGAGGAATTAAAGATCCATATGCAGTATCTGGTACTAGTTTTATACCACCTGATACTTCAGAGAATATTTACACTCCTGTTGCAGATATTCAAAAATACTTAAATAAACGTCCTAATAATGTTGAGGATGATTATTTCTTTGTATTAATCAATACACCCAAAAATATATATAATAGTAATTGGTATTTAGTAACAAAGTTAGGAAAAGGGTCACATGATATGATGATGCATAATATATGTTCTGATTCTGGTTTAGATTTTAAAGATCGTAATATTACTAATCATTCAATGAGATCAACGGTTATATGTAATCTTGTTGAATCTAGTATCACACTTGATGAACAGATGATTTTTTCAAGATATAAAACAATTGCAGGTGTATCTGCCTATCAGCATCAATCTATCAAGCGTAAATGAGATAATGCTTCTCTTCTAATTCCTACTAAAGATACAGCATTAAAGGATTCAACTAATTATACAAA